CTCCCATTGTCCACCCCTTGACCTTTGTCCCTGCAGTGTCCCCCACCCTTTTTTTTTTTCAAAGTGAAGAAGTTGGAACTTGGACTTACGTAGAGTCAGGGTTAGTAGATTATGGAAATGTTCTTTTTTCTTTTTTTAATCCTCACCTGAGGATATATTTTTTGTTTTTTACTGATTTTTAGAGAACATATTTAGAGAAACATCCGTGTGAGAAACATCGAATGGTTGCCTCCCAAAAGCGCCTCAACCACGGATTGGTGCATTTTCTTCTAGATCATTTGGCGCAATCTGGGTATGTGCCCTGACCAGGAATCGATCCTGCAACCTTTTGGTGTACAGGACAATGCTCCAACAAACTGAGCCACCCAGCCAGGGCCCTGCAGTGTCCTTGCCTGACACCATCCCTTACTCCCCACCACCTGCCAATCCAAGACCTACTCGCCCTTCCAGACCCATCAAGACCCACCCAGCACTGAATCCACAACGAAGCCTGGATACCCAGAGCCAGTGGGATCCACTGCCCCTTCCAGCATCTTCACCGAAGGCTTGAGGCTCACAGGCAGGGTCTGCAGTCCCTGTGGGGAGGGACACTCCAACATCCAGCCAGGACCAGCGAATAGAGGACACACATCCCCAAATGAGGGAAAACCACAGTGAGATCAACCTCAGAAGATCCCCCAGGGGAGGCAAACTTTGAGCTAATAGTTATGAGTATTTACTGGACAAACAGTTCTCCAGCACCTGCAATGTGCCAAGCACCCCGCCAGGGGTGGGCACCTTAAACAAGACAGACCTTGTCCCGCCCGCCCTGGGGGAAGAGGACACAGTGATAGACATAAATACTGAGATTAGAAGAGAGCAGGGCAGGGCTTAGAGAGGGCGGAAGGTTGGGCATTGAGGGGATGTTTGAGCAGGGCATGAAGGAGAGGCCATTTGATCGACCGGATGCCTCTCTCAGAGAAGACAGCAAACACAATGGTCTGGGTGGCTCTGGGCTTAAAGGCTCCCTCCTCCTGAAAGCCATCTTGGATTGCTTCTCCTGGTCCCCAGTGCATCTGCACACTGTTCCATGAGCTTCACCTGCCTCACCCTGGATGCTTGTGCTCAGTAAGATAATCTGGTGGATAAATGGATGAGAAGATGTATTCACACAACAGAGGAGTGGTCTGTGTCCCCAAGGGGAAATGGCTGGGTGCTCCTACTCTGATGTCCCCAGTGCCCAGGACAGTGCCTGGCATACAGCAGGTGCTAAGTGGTATCAGAAATATGGAAGTGGTGCCAGAAAATGACGTCAATGATGGCTTCTATCTGAGGACAAGGCTTCCCCAACTCCCCTCCGTGACCTTGCGCCCCATCTCCTGGTGGGGGGACACCCGCCCTCCGTCTATCAGTGGGGTTGTGACCCCTCAGCCCAGCAGGGCCCAAGAAAATGTTTCTGCTCCCCAGAGATAAATGGCTGCTCCTTGCTCTGACTGTTAGCAGTACATTGGCAGGAGGGAGCTGGAGGCATGGCCTTCCTGCTCCTCTCAAGAGCAGCCTGGCAGTGGCCCTAGATCCTGGAGAAGGTGACCCTCATGGTTGGTCTACAAGGAATTGCAGCGACAGACCATTTGCACATCACATGAGGGACGCCTGAACGCCAAGGTGATGGGTTGTGTGGGTGTGAGTACATGAGAGACTGAATGAGTGAGGGTGTGAGTGAATATGAGGGTGTGAGCGCATGTGTGCACAAGTGCACAGGAAGACAGAAAAACGATCTAGAACAGGGGTTCTCAACCTTGGCTGCACATTAGAATCACCTGGGAATCTTTTTAAAATCCTGATTTCTGGGCCTCATCCTCCGGAAATTCTGTTTCTTTGTTATGGGGGTGGGGCCACAACATTAGTAACCACTGATCTAGAAGAAAATGCACCAAAATGATCCCTGGGAGAGAGAATCCAGGTGGTTTTTATTGGCTTCTGTGCTTTTCTGTATTTTCCTAATTTGCTATGCTCGGCCTGTGCTACTTTTAGAACCAGAAAAGAGCTAAAATAAGTCACTTTTTAAAAATAAGTCATTCTTTAAAGCCATGGGTGCAAAAGTCAGAGCAGACGAAAGGAGACAGGTGTAGCTCTGCAGGCACCTGGGCGTGGGGAAGAGAGAGTGCTGTGGGGTGACCAGAGAGAGGCAGGGCCTCCAACCCCGCTTCCTCACACCCAACTCCTGTGTGAAATGGCCTTCTTTGCCCCATTGGGAATCTCAGCTCCTGCTGACCCTGATGCTCCAGAGTTACCTGCCCAGTGTTCAGGTAGGGCCTTGGCCAGGAGGGGCTGGGTGTGGGCAGCCGGAGAGACAGGTCGAACATATCTTGGCTAAGCTCAGCCCCACCTTTTGTCCTGGGGCCTGAGATTCCACATCTTAGGCGCCTGGTGCCTGGAGGGGCTGCCTACAAGTTCAAGCTCGGTGTCCAGAGACAAAACTCCGTGATGCGCTGCAGCTGGGGTAAGACGTAGTGTGCAGACTCCACAATTATTTTAAGTGCCTACAACGTGCCAAAACTGAAACACGTGGGCAAACGCAGTAAAAGACTGTTGTCAAGGGCTGGGTCTATTGAGAGAGGGCTCCCAAGTCCCAGAATCAGGTGGAAGCTCCCCCAGAGGTTGGCATGTCCTGACCATATCAAGATCTTGGGACTTAAAGGGGACCCTGAGTCTCCCTCCAGGTCAGGGCTATGCAGAGAGGCCTTGAAGAAAACCTCCGAGGCCTGGTAATTGCCAGGCCTCCTCTTCTCGCCTTCCCCCACCTCAGTTGCAAGAGGAAGCTGGCCCTGCCAACACGTCCAGTGGCCTCCAGAGCTGTGAGACAATATATCTCCATTGTTTTAAGCCCCCAGTTTATGGTGCTTTGTTACAGGAGCCCTAGGAAATGGATGCGGGGATAATGTTGGGGTATAGCATGCAAATGTGTCTTGGCCTCACTAATCCTGGCTCCTGGATGACCCCTTTGCCTAAGAGCCAAGCCTCGGAGGGTTTGGTTCTCCACAGCAGAGAACACAGTGCCCCTGGGAGGAGGCTGTGACACAGGAGGCTCCCTGCTAGCGAGCAGAGGGAAGCCTCGCTTGCAGGCTGGAAGTGAGAAAGGGAGAAGCAGTGGAGAGAGATGTGAAGCCCCACATTCGCTCCTCAGGGCTGCGCCTTGGGCTGGATAGAAGGGGCCTTGGAAAACAAGAGTTACAACCAACTC